ACAGAAAATAACACCACCGGAAAATGCTTATAAATTTGAAATAATTCCATAAGAGAATTGAAAAAAATTTGTGTGTGTGTGTGTTTGAGGGTTTGTTTGTGTGTTTTTTGCTTGTGTATTAGTCCATTTGTCTGTCTGTGTGTTTGTTTGCTTGTGTTCAAACCAATGAAGAGAATTAGAAGACAACATATTGGAAGGAAAAAATGAAAAAGCTGGAATGAAAGCAAAGAAATGAAGGAACAAAGATAAAAAGAAAATGAAAGAAAGTGTTATATCGAAAGAGAGAGAGAGAAAGAGAAAGAGAGAGAGAGAAAGAGAAAGAGGACTCTTGAATAATTGTATGAAACTTTTAAAACATGAAAGAAAATATAGTGAAAAACTGAAACCATAGAAAATGCGTTTTGGCGTCGTTTAGATTAAAAAAAAATAAAATAATTTTTTTTAAATTTAAAATACAAATTTTCAGAAGTAGCAAAAAAAAGGACGAAAATACAAAGAAAACTGATGAGCAAAGAACAAAAAGTGACGCATTAGCAAACGTAAAAGACGGCTACAAGCCATAGATATTTTAGCTATGGAATACCAATGTTATTGTACTGAAATAAATTCGAACTTAGGGCGATGTTTATTTATGGTAGGTCGAACGTGGGCATAGAATGTTAAACAAATTCGTTTTCTTTGTTATGCATCATCATCAACAAAAACAACTACACTACCACGCAGCAGCAAAAGCAGCCGCGGCAGTAACAGCGGCAACAACAACTGCAACAACAACATCGTCATCTTCATCATCATCGTCTTGTTGTTGGCGTTGAAGATGTGTTTTGCTTGAGAAAATAGTGCTTTTATGATCTCGATGGCTTTTGATGTGATCATCTAGACTGGTCTTTTTGTTGTTGTTGATGTTGTTTGTGGTATTGTTGTTATTTGTGGTGGTGTAGTTGTAGGTGTTGTTACTACTGCAGTTGTTGATGATGAGATGTTGTTTCTGATGTTGTTTGTTGTTGTTTGTTGTTGTTTCAAAATTTTTCTCACCCGAACATTTTATCATCATCATTTTTCTTGGTCATTTGGTTGTTGTTCAGCTCTTAATGCTCCATTTTTATGTGGCTTCGATGAAAGTGAAGTCGTCGTTTAAATTGTTGTTGTTATTGTTATTATTATTCTCGCTGTTGCTGTTTATATTATTATTATTGTTGTTGTTGTTGGTTGTTATAGTTGGTTGTTGTTGTTGTTGTCGTTGTTGTTGTTAATAATGATGTTGTTGACGTTGTTGTTAATGTTGTTTTTGTTGTTGCTGATGTTGTTGTCACTGATGTTGTTGTTGTTGATGATGCTGCTGTTGTTATTTTTGTCGCCATGTCTTCTACCCTGGAAGTAATTGTTATCGTCTAGAAGCTTTGTTTATTCTGTCAGATATGTTACTTTTTGTTTTTGTTGTTGCTTAGAGTTGATGTTATTGTTGTTCTTGTTGCTTTTGTTCGTAATGATAATGATGATAATAATATTGATGACGATGATAATGATGATGATGATGATGATGATGATGTTGATGATGGTGGTGATAATGATGAGGAGGAAAAGGATGATGATGATGTTTTGTTGTTTTTGTCATGTCATATAATTCATTTTTCAGGTTTGGTTGAATATCAATCTTAAAATTTTTAAATTCAAGCAAAAAACTCACGCGCACACACACAGACACACACACACACAAACAAGCATATGCACGCACACGCACACACACAAACATACACACATACAAAAAACATGCAAACAATTAAACATACAAAATGCCATATCGACAACAACACTACCCACCAACATAAACCTCAAAAACAACATCAACAACAACATCAACAACTACGCTAACAACATC